ATATTATACTGTTATACTGTTTACATTCGATTATTTTTTATTTTCGTGTATGAAATAAAATATGTCATATCTAAACTGTACTCATATAATCATTAAGAAATATTAAACAAATAACAAAGATATAAACAAACAGTGCAATTGGATATGTCATCTGTCCCAATAACGTATCGTTGATAACTGATAAGCAAGGAAATACAATTATAATACGATTCAAACATTTGTTACCTATTATTTCGTCTATTAAGTCTTTTTGGACTCTTCAAAGTGGTACGTTCAAATTAAAATAACATAATATATGACAACGTTTTTGGTTCATGTCATCAAATATAATTTAAACTAAAACCATCGCGTGCTGAAGTATTAAATAGCTGGTAATGTTTGAAGCAAACCGAGAGTTTAAAATACTACCTAGTATACAGAAACAAAATCTTGACGTTTTAATTATAATTATTTATTTATTTCAATTTATAACTTTGAATCATCATAATAGCTAGTGGGAAAAAATAATACGACGTTTCTAATGAATACATTTTTTTTTTTTAATCTTAAATTTAATAATAATTGTGCTAAAGATTCCGAAGCATTAACAATTAATAATAACTATTTCAAGGTAATGAACATTTTTCGCTAATAAATCGTAAACCATGAAATGTTATTCGTAAACGATTTCGCTCATTATACGTGTCATAGATATATACATCATATAGGGCCAAGGTTAGGAATGACAGTAATTCACGCGTCAAACAAATACTCGAATCGTTTATAACGAATTTACTATTATAATCACTAAATCACATCGAAAATACATTTTTTTAAACAATAATACCTTAATTTATTGCACATTAAAATAAACGAATATTGTGTTTTAAAAACCCAACCCCACACTTCATTATTAATTTCTATAATATATTGTAACTCTTTTTATAGGGTTAATTATTAGCATACATTAAAATGATAACAATTTGTTAACAGTAATTATTAAAAATTGAGTTCATTTATATTTTTCAAGGTGTTTCTTTTATTGTATTGTATTGCCGAAGTATCAAAATTTTCAATTTTCAATTCTATAAAAGAATTATCCTATTTTAACAAAATATACAAAAGCTAGTTAAAATTACCATCACAATTAAATTTGTACTTATTTTGAAATTCAAGCGATTTTTAATAATCAAATAATCTGATTTTTCAAATTTCGGAACTCAATTTAGACAAGTATTATAGGTAATATCGCATATTACAACTGTATAAAGTATTAAAACTATATAAAATATAGAAACCAATAAAAAACAAAAACGAATAGTTTTTTTAATGCTATTACAATTCTAAACTGTACAAATGATAGATCTGAAATTCAACAAATGTGTTGTTTTTTGTAAATTACATGTTATTTTATCATGTGTAAAAACACAAATATTACATGAAATATCAAGTACATTATGTAGAATTGTATAAATCTACATTTTGCTTCACCGTGTAATTTTCCATATGAAAATACCAACCATTCTTATTTTTTACATCCTCGTGTAATATGGTGGGAAGGACGAAATTAATGTATGGCTGTTCGACATTAATGACTAGAAATTGATAGGAGTTTTACTACTCATACCAATTAGCACAGATACAGAAATTCCACCTACTGTGAATAATACATTATATTGTGAGCTTATAACATTGATTAGTTATATTGGTTTAATAAGCTTTAATTTTTAAAAAAAACAATAATAATATAAACAAATTATGTTTTTTTCCTTTCTTCAACTAGATTAAAGATCATTCTGAAAAAAGAATATCAACTTTGTAAAACGCATTCATGTCTGTTATTTAATGACTGATCAATACGAAATTTTTGGGCGGGGGTGATCGAATATGATTTTATAGATCCATATGTTTTATACACATTACACACATATTATCTCTGTATATATGTACATGTAAAAAATATTTAGTTGTGACTAGGGGAGAGGAACACGAAAAATATCACAAAACCGTCACGAGACGGTAAAACGGGTCAGTGGAAAAATTCAAAGAAAAATCCGTGTGACATTTAACAAAACCGTGATGTCGTTTTAATTCACTTCCCGTAAATACTCGGGAAAGACGCTAATATCGTACCTATGTACACACGATACACATTTTTACTAATGAAAGTCACTTCCGGCCAACAACGGGCCTGTTCGTAGGTACATGTGACGGTTGTTCTGCTTGTACAGCAATTTTTACCGCATTACCTGTTGCTGCAGTGTGAACCGCGGCAATCACCCAAACTTGTAGGTATGTGCATTGTATGTGCGCGTGTGCGTGTGCCGACGACGCTTCCTCCCGACTCGTGTCATTATATGTTTTTCGAATATTTTCCTCTCCTCTTTCCGTTAGTTTTTTTCCCTCGATTTTCGTACACACGAATATTATCATTATCAGCTACATATTATACGGAAACGTGTTGTGTGATGCTCGCGACCCGTAGCCCATAGGTATGTAATGTATAGGTATACACTATACGTATTACTACGTTATATAGGTATACTGCGGTTGGGTACCAGTGCTACTGACAACCGTGTTGTAAGTATGAACCTACGTCGTCGTGGTAATCACTGTGTGGCTCGGCGGAGGCAGCGGCAATGATAATACTAGGTATATTATATTTTTGTATACACAGTGTAGTATACCGTAGTTTGGCCATTTAACCTCCCCATTCATAATGGGCCATTATATACAATGTTGTGTAGTATTCATATGTACCTACGTATGTCGGCGTGTCGTGTTTTCGGTATGTGTAGAAATATATAATAATTACCATCCAGTAACCATATTATATACGAACACGGTCTTTAAACATGGGTTATTTATACATTTACGGAGTTGTGCTTATTTATAATATATTATAACATGACTGTCTCGCGTGATCGGAACGATCAATAAGTTCCTCCAACACACACACACACTCACACTCACACACGTTTCCTGTTTATAATTCCCTGTGACCTAACTCACCCGCTCCCGACGACAATCGTGCTAATGGTTAGTCGTTTTGTCTGTTCCCCCTACCCCCCCCCCTCCCACAACCCGCTGTAGTAAGGTGCCTCTAGTAAGTTCAACCCTACACAGCTCAACCGCAACGAACGTCACACACGGCCCTCTTGCAGGCTGACATTTGATTATTCTGATATCTACGTGATAAGAAGGGGGGGGGAAACACTCGGTTAACGGACAAACTATATATACATGCGAATAATATATGGACGCGTAAGAGTTTTAGTGTTCTTTGTAACGCACAACTGCACGCTATGAGCTAGGTCTAGTATATGTGCACTGACGAACTGAGCCTATTATATTATTAAATAGTTGGTACACTGGTACCTACCACTTAGGTACCAGTCTATATATATATATATATATATACATGTATATAAAGATTATGAATACCTTCTTACTATACCGCGTATTATAGAAATTGTTTAAAAATGTAATTATACCGTTGATTAATAATTAACATTGCCTTGAACTAAAGTGCATCAATGCACGGCGTATATAACCACACTGGAAATTTGTATTGACGACACAAGGTTTTTTTTCGTTTTAGGTCAGTTTAGTAGGTATACTTTTAATTGCTATTTAATTATGAAAACTACACACAATACAGTCTGAAAATATATCTAATGTCCATAACAACATTGTCAAAACTTTTCATGTTTTTATCTATGACATATATCAATAAAAATANTCATCCTAAAAGTGGTACAAAAAGAGTCAATGATTCAAAAAATGGTCTTCAAGTGCATTTAAAAATTCTAAAACTCTGAATTTTAATATTATATTATGCATTATTTAAGCATAAGAATAGGATGAGCATGCTCAAAAAAATCACTCGGCAGTATACACTAATATTAATTTTATTTGTCGGAAAAAATGAGAATTTTTATGCAAAACCATTTTTTGACCAAATCAATAGTCTAGTACAGCGGTTCCCAACCCATGGGCCGCGGCCCACTTGTGGGCCTCGAGCAGCTTGGTACTGGGACGTGAACCATATAAATATATAATATTTAATATTATATATATATTTTAAATAATATTATTACATATTTTTAGTGTATACCTAATAATATTTCTGGTTATAATAATATTTATCAATATTATCTACACTCTGCAGTGTCAAATTGGTGTCAAATTATTAATTAACGCTAATTATAGAAATCAACTGAATGTTGAAAGTGATTTAATTGTAAAATCATTCAATTTTCATCCTTGATATTGACTCTCTCATGAAGGACAATTAATGTCAAAAATCACATTAAACTGTTTAAATTGTGTTTTTCATGATAAACAATTGATTTTTTAATTCTTTTTAGTTCTTACAACTGACGTTTATATATACATATATATTTTATGCATTCGTATAAAGGTGAGCTGTTTGAGAGCCTCAAAGATTTGTTTACAAAATTGGTGGTCCCCACAGCTAAAAAGGTTGGGAACCGCTGGTCTAGTAGGTACCTACTTCGTTGATACGAATTGTTAAAGTTTTTATTACCTTTATTCATTATATTTAAAATGTTATAAGAACATTATTTTTTTTTTTTCAGGTGAGGGGGGCCACCGTTAGAACTGACCTGTTCTAGAGAAATTAAAAAATCGACGGCCAGCTACTTTTAAGACATATTTTTACTGGTATCCCGACAATTGAGCGAAAGAAAAAGAGCGAACGTAAATAAGCGAATGAAAAAGAGCGAATACAAAATGAGCGAATAAAAATATGAGCGAAAACATATAGAGCGAAAATATAATAGATTGCACATATAATAATATAAACTAAAATATTTCATATTTATTCATGTTTGTCATACTTATTGAATATTTTTCCTGCATTGAAGTTATAGTCTGCAGTTTTCGCCAAATACACTGACTGAGATGAAAAAAGCATCCACGGTTTTCGATTTGTGGAAATACTTCTTTAAAAGCATTAATAGAGGCGTTTTCAAAATCAGTTAAAATAGATTTTGGGTTTAAACTATTTTTTTTTTTTTTAATTTTTTTAATAAACTGACATAAGTAGATGATTTTTTATCGGGTAATAGTGCATATAATGTTGGTATACATCTATCATATTTTAATATGTGTATTGTATAGATTTGATTAAAAATAGGTGGAGCTGATTTGAAAGTACCATCAGAAAACCAGTGATCGGATTCCGACATCAGATCCAAACTATCGGATGTACAAAAAATTATAATTCGTTTGTTTGACAAACCATAGTCATCGATACTGTCATATAAAACAAATTGTTTACCATGAGTAGTCAATTTATATTCAATTGGCAATTGGTGTAAATCATCGAGAATTTGTGGATTAGGTGGAGCTAAGCAATTTCTTTGTCTCGTTCTTTGAATTGTACGTTTCAAGTGTGCGATCTGTGGAAGTGCACCAAAAACAATTGGAACTGTAGAAGAAGACGACTCACCTATTATAACTGCAGGATTATCTCGAGTTTCAACGGCACGCTTTTTAATATTTTCGACTACTACTTTCGCTTGATTTTTAATTATATCAGCAACATGATTATGATCAGAAGGGCCTTTAATAATTTCGCCGTGTTTTAAATTCAAACGCCCTGTACATAGTTTGTCTATACATCGCCAATATTCAACATCTTTATGTATTTTTTCTTTTCTATATAAGAAACTATTTAACGGTAGTAAAAGTTTTCCTTGTTGTGACTGAATATACTGCATTTTACATACACAATCGAAAACACTATATAAATCGAACACACTAATATAAGAACTCCGGCGGACGACTAAAATAACAAATTCAACCTAGGTACGACGACAGTGACACAGATAAGACAAATAATCATAAACGTAATCTTATCGAATCGTTATCGTGGACTTTTCGAATCCTAAAATATTTCACTAGTTTCACATAATTGGTACATAGCTGGTATAAAATATTTAAAGACGAAAACGTTTATACTATATATTTTTTCGCTCTATATGTTTTCGCTCATATTTTTATTCGCTCATTTTGTATTCGCTCTTTTTTATTCGCTCATTTACGTTCGCTCCTTTTCTTTCGCTCATTTGTCGTAGACCCATTTTTACTTACCAATATTAAAAAAAAAAACGACGTTTTTTTATTTGAACAATCATAAGTATACCGTTAGTAAATAATAATACAAAAAAACATTTTATAAATAAGAATGCACCCAAATGTTGAACAATATTGCTTATGGCTTATATCAAAATTAATTAAGAGCAATTAAATATAGGTACTCACGTAATCCCTTTTTTGCACCTAAATTGTCATAAATGAAACCTCGATAATTCATATCTAGTTTGAAATATTTATAATTTTTACAGTTAAATCAATAAATAAATAAATCAGCAGAGTTTTGTACTTGTGCTACGTCGTGTAGTATAGTCAGCTGTCACTAGCCTGCAATAACGCAAGTGGCAAATGCAATACGAGTAATGAGTACTAGAACAATTCTCTCGTTGACTCGTTATCTTCTATCCCCGACCGCCGCTGTCCATTACAAAGAGCTTTACCAATCACCCGCAGCCCTAACAATAAGTTTAAAAATTATAGTGAATCAACCTGTTATGAAACTTATGGCAAGATTTTAAGAATACTATCAATAGTATCTGGGTTCATAATTTTGCATGTCGGTTTAATGTCGGGATAGTCCGATTTTAAGCGAGATTTGCATATATGAAATGGTGTAATTTAAAAAGCTCGTAAGTCGCTCAAAAACTGCATTAACGTTGAAACCAAAAACCTATATATGAACACAGATAATGTTTTTACTATCAAGTTTCATAATAGATTAATTCATTACAATTTTTAATTCAACGAAGNAAAAAAATAATAAACAATAAAAAATATAATAATAATATAATATAAAATATAAAATATTTGTTCATATTATTTGAAATACTTATTGAATTAATACATTAATAATTATACTTGTAATGAAAAATTATACGCGATACCTTTTAAATATTGAAGTGTGGGAATATTATAATAATCATCAACTATATTTTTTAATTTTTCCGCAGAATCATTATATTTTTTTTTTTTATTGGACGAACGTATGCCACTATTAATTTGATGTAACTGCATATCTACTAAAGTTTGTTGATTTTGAAGGGCTTTTATGAACTTCCAAATTGTTGGATTACACGACCCTAGTAGACAATTAAAGCCTCTATTCCAGCCTAAAACAATTAAGTATAATTTATATAATATACATGATTGCAAGTTATTAAATAATTTCTGATTACCTTCAATAGAGTTATTTGTTTTTGGTAACCCGTGTTTTGTTGCTTCATAACAATTCCACATCTGAATTGAAAATATTGAATTTCTTCTTCCCTGTCTTCGAGTTGGTCTGCCTATCCACGTATCTTCAAAATAGTCTACTATGGGTTGAAGAAAATCCTCATTTTCTTTGTAGTATTCACTATCTAAAAGTTCCTCAAATGCTTTTTCTACGTCGTTTATTGGAACAAACGCAAGTGCTGGCAGTAAGCGAATCTGAATAGAAAAATTTGGGTCATTGATGTATTTTTCCTGCATTGAAGTTATAGTCTGCAGTTTTCGCCAAATACACTGACTGAGATGAAAAAAGCATCCACGGTTTTCGATTTGTGGAAATACTTCTTTAAAAGCATTAATAGAGGCGTTTTCAAAATCAGTTAAAATAGATTTTGGGTTTAAACTATTTTTTTTTTTTTTAATTTTTTTAATAAACTGACATAAGTAGATGATTTTTTATCGGGTAATAGTGCATATAATGTTGGTATACATCTATCATATTTTAATATGTGTATTGTATAGATTTGATTAAAAATAGGTGGAGCTGATTTGAAAGTACCATCAGAAAACCAGTGATCGGATTCCGACATCAGATCCAAACTATCGGATGTACAAAAAATTATAATTCGTTTGTTTGACAAACCATAGTCATCGATACTGTCATATAAAACAAATTGTTTACCATGAGTAGTCAATTTATATTCAATTGGCAATTGGTGTAAATCATCGAGAATTTGTGGATTAGGTGGAGCTAAGCAATTTCTTTGTCTCGTTCTTTGAATTGTACGTTTCAAGTGTGCGATCTGTGGAAGTGCACCAAAAACAATTGGAACTGTAGAAGAAGACGACTCACCTATTATAACTGCAGGATTATCTCGAGTTTCAACGGCACGCTTTTTAATATTTTCGACTACTACTTTCGCTTGATTTTTAATTATATCAGCAACATGATTATGATCAGAAGGGCCTTTAATAATTTCGCCGTGTTTTAAATTCAAACGCCCTGTACATAGTTTGTCTATACATCGCCAATATTCAACATCTTTATGTATTTTTTCTTTTCTATATAAGAAACTATTTAACGGTAGTAAAAGTTTTCCTTGTTGTGACTGAATATACTGCATTTTACATACACAATCGAAAACACTATATAAATCGAACACACTAATATAAGAACTCCGGCGGACGACTAAAATAACAAATTCAACCTAGGTACGACGACAGTGACACAGATAAGACAAATAATCATAAACGTAATCTTATCGAATCGTTATCGTGGACTTTTCGAATCCTAAAATATTTCACTAGTTTCACATAATTGGTACATAGATGGTATAAAATATTTAAAGACGAAAACGTTTATACTATATATTTTTTCGCTCTATATGTTTTCGCTCATATTTTTATTCGCTCATTTTGTATTCGCTCTTTTTTATTCGCTCATTTACGTTCGCTCCTTTTCTTTCGCTCATTTGTCGTAGACCCATTTTTACTTACCAATATTAAAAAAAAAAACGACGTTTTTTTATTTGAACAATCATAAGTATACCGTTAGTAAATAATAATACAAAAAAACATTTTATAAATAAGAATGCACCCAAATGTTGAACAATATTGCTTATGGCTTATATCAAAATTAATTAAGAGCAATTAAATATAGGTACTCACGTAATCCCTTTTTTGCACCTAAATTGTCATAAATGAAACCTCGATAATTCATATCTAGTTTGAAATATTTATAATTTTTACAGTTAAATCAATAAATAAATAAATCAGCAGAGTTTTGTACTTGTGCTACGTCGTGTAGTATAGTCAGCTGTCACTAGCCTGCAATAACGCAAGTGGCAAATGCAATACGAGTAATGAGTACTAGAACAATTCTCTCGTTGACTCGTTATCTTCTATCCCCGACCGCCGCTGTCCATTACAAAGAGCTTTACCAATCACCCGCAGCCCTAACAATAAGTTTAAAAATTATAGTGAATCAACCTGTTATGAAACTTATGGCAAGATTTTAAGAATACTATCAATAGTATCTGGGTTCATAATTTTGCATGTCGGTTTAATGTCGGGATAGTCCGATTTTAAGCGAGATTTGCATATATGAAATGGTGTAATTTAAAAAGCTCGTAAGTCGCTCAAAAACTGCATTAACGTTGAAACCAAAAACCTATATATGAACACAGATAATGTTTTTACTATCAAGTTTCATAATAGATTAATTCATTACAATTTTTAATTCAACGAAGCGAAACGTGAACTTTTGATCCTAAATTTGACATAATATGATACACATTCGTAAGACAAAGACAACAAATCATTGCATACGAAAAATCAATCTGCCCGGATATGATCTGCTACTTATACTTATTCGCTTAAAGGATATTTTAATTATTCTATTAGTAATCTAGTTTTTGAGTAGATATCTATTTTTATAATTGTATTGTTAAATATAAGTAAGATGATTTACATACTATTAAAATGTTTACAATAAAATATCTACCTCCTATTTCCCACATTAACAAAAGATTCATAATTCTTTTATATTATATAAAATAGTAATTTTTTTTTATACAAGCTCAACTGGTAACACATGCAATATAGCTTAAAATTGTCTCCAGTTGAACCTACTTATAACTAAAGTATTTTTACCTAAACAGATTCTAACAATTTTTCTTTGAAATATTTTTATTCGTTTAACACTCTAATCGCATATTTATTTAAACTCTCCCAGACCAACAAACCATATAGATAATAGAAGATTGAAATTATGCCTGGAATAATGCTAAATAAATTATACGCATGACTTTGAAAAGCAGAAAAAAGCGTTTAATTTTGAAAAAATTAAGCCATAATGTAGGTACGCATGCGCATTACAATATTATTGACTTGCAAATGTCATCTCATATTCTTATTAAAAAGAATTAAGGAGAATCATTTTAATTGTAGGTTATGCAGATTGCAAAGTTAAATATTATTTAGATGAATCGTAGGAAACGCTTTTGGTATTTTAGCTGAAATATTACGAATATAATTTATTCTATAAATGTGGAGACCGAAAACACAGTCATAATGGTAACACGTATTTTACATATAATTATATTTTCGAGAACAAAATCATTAAGCGATGCAGAATATTTTATAAGTAAAGAAATATAAGAAGGAATCAATTCTAATTTACTAGCACCATTTGTAGGTGATACAAGAACAGCTAGAATAGGTCCACTGACTACTAATGAAACGTTTTGAGAAATCATCAGTTGTATCATCTCCGGTTATGTTAACCGAAGACAAGTTTAATCGGCCGAATTTGGCCGGTTATAAAATCTGTTATCAGCTGATTAAGTGTAACCGTTGACGGTACTACTACAACTGAGCCCCTAAGTAACATTTTACTGCAGCAATCCAACCTATTTTAAAACGTAATAAATCGTATACTACATTACTACGACAAACAATTTACCAATTACGATTTAATTTTGATCGATTTTAAGAAACTATTGTAACGATTACTAGAATTCTTAAAATTAACGATCATAGACTATTGCAATGTTAGATTTGGTAGAGTTAATTGATTCGTCATAAATCATAATCATAATCATAAAATACCGTCATCGTCGTCGTCCGCACTTTTGTCGCAAACTTTTTGATGGCCACCGTCATCATCCGCGCTTGTGTCGCAAACTCTCTGATACATGGGGGTCTAACTCTATACGGCAGGTCTGATATGTAATTTTAAGACACGCGAAATACCAACGTAATATATGTTGCGTACAATTATAAATATTTGCATGACTGGTCACTCTGTTTTTACCGTTCTCGCCGTTATTTTGCTTACATCAACATAACCAACCCCAAATCCCAATGTCATTATGCCAAACGCCGTAAGCATAACCGTTTGTCCGTTTTACTATTTTACGAAACTGTGCCGAATAACGATTTTATTTTGTTTTTATTTGTTAAAGTGTTAAATTAATAGTTTAGTTTTCGGTGAAGAATTGTTACTGTTTGTTTCACCATGCCATCAAATAGTTGTGTTGTGATTGGTTGTGACACCAAATACACTGACAAAACTGTTCTTCGTCATCGGTTTCCAAAAGAAAAAACCACATTTGACGCTTGGGTGAAGAGATCAGGAAACAACAAATTATTAAATAAACCAATTGACATGGTTTATAAATCTTTTGTTATGTGTGATAAACATTTCGAAGAAACATGTAAAAGTCCTGGATTCAAAAAGTTGATTACTAATTCATTGCCAACTCTGAATTAACCTGGTAAATATATTATTTTAATTTTATATAACATTATGTTGTTTTAAAATTATTTGTAATATTTGTTTTTTTTATATGTTCTATAGTGGTATGTTTTAGGCAGCCTAAATGTTCTTAGTTATACACTTATAACTAAACTAAAGATATCTACGTATTGGGTGTATTTAGCCAATACTTGACATCAGTTGAACGGGCCGGGAGCATAAAAAATATTACGCGTGCCCGAACGCCAATGCTTTAAGGTACGGTGTCCAATGCGCGACCTGTCGCCGCGACCGGTCGCGGCGACAGGTCGCGCTCTACCGATTATTCGCGTTTCCCATTGACTGGTGTCCTACCCGCAACTGCAACGCGCGACAGATAATTTGCCGTCGCGACCCGCGACAATACCGCGACGAGAGCAGTGTAGCGCGACGCGTCGACGATTCGTTCTCCCGGTCAATATGTCGGCTATAGCATTTACATCACAAGAAGATGAACTTTTTATTGAATCCGTGCGTAAATATCCAGAGCTTTATGACTGTTCACACATGCAATATTTTAATTTAATAGTTAAAGATGCAAAATGGAAAGAAATTTCCCAAAAAATTGGAAAGTCTGGTAAGTAGTTAATATTTTTTTTTATTTAAATAAGAATAACGACTACCTATTTACAATCTGTGTACAACAAATACAATAAACAATTTATACTTAATAATGATAATATTTATATTTTTATATGATATTAATTATATAATTTTATACAATATATTTAATAATAATTATGTTTAACACGTTCAACGCCACGACGGGTTGTCAAACATGTATAACATTGCCCTGGTCGCCGGTGTCGACAAATATATAAATACATTGACAATTCACTATTTTGACTGGTGATGAGATGTGATAAACACAGTGGCGTAAAATTAACCACATTTATTTATAGTTATGTTATTAACCATTTTCTATTATTATACCAATATGTACTCGTAAATTTATATTTTATTGTGATCGGCCGACTCGAGTGTAAATGGCAGCTGATAAAGAAAACGTATTACATAGTTTAAAATTATTATATGTTTGTTTTATACATGGTGTATGTTTTTTGTATTATTTTGGTTATTCCTGTACAATATAAAACGAATAATTATTGTATATTAAAATTGTATAGTCGAAGATTGCAAAAAGCGTTGGAAAAATATCAGAGATTCTTACAATCGTAATAAAAGAAAATTGGGTACGGGTTCTGAAAGATCGCTAAAAAAAAGTGGCCTTTGGCAGCACACGTATCTTTTCTAGATAAAGTTCAACACGAACGAAGGTGATTACTAATTAGGCTTTTATACATTTTAATACAATACTTAATAAATTGTATATATTTGTATATATTTTTTTGTATTTAGTTCTTCATCAAATATAAGTGTAACTGAAAGTGCAACAGTACTACATGAAGAAGGAGAACTTGACAGAGGAATAGGGGATGAGTTTGACGGAGGAATAACAGAAGAAACCGAAAAAACCAAAGATAGTCCACAACGTATAAGATCGAAGCAGGACAAGTTGGAAGTCCTCCTTGCAACAAGAAATGAAGAACAAAAAAAGTTAATAGCAGCAATCCAGTCTCAAAATGAGACAATTTTAAATAGAAAAATGAATGAGGGTGATGATATAGATTTATTTTTCAAAAGTTTGGCCATGACTGTGAAGAAGTTACATACTAAAGGTATCAACGAAGTAAAAATGAAAACATTAGCATTGGTGGCTGAAGCTGAAGAAAAATATGCTGCACAACCAACAAGAAATTTTACAGCTCAAGGATATTTTAATCAACCAAATGAAAACTCCATACAAATGTCACCTTCAAATGCATCAACTTCAACATACGGTACATCTGAAAGCTCACAAGGTTTTACAACATACAATTTTGATGAAAATATATTATATGAATAGATTTGTTATTACTATACTGTTCAAGATTGAAGGTTATTATTTTATTTTATTCAAAAACAGATATTTTTTTTAAAATTATATTTGTAATCACTAAGATATAATACAAATATTTTTGTTATGCTTAAAAATGTATACTAAAAGGTACAGTGTTATTTATAATTTTAAAAAGTATTTTAATAAAATGTTATTATTATAAAATATTTAAAAGTATTTAATTATTTACAAAATTGCCATGGTACAGAGCCTTCATTATTGAAGTATGACTTGAAACGCTCTCTTACATCAAAACCTTCAATGTTGATAAATCCACCTCCTCTTGATAATGGTAACATGTTATTTGTTGGTGTTGATTGTTCATCTTCGTAGTCGTAAAATGGGTGATTATTTTTTTCCATGTAACCAGTTCTCAACATATTGTGCAAGCAACACGCAACCCAAATAAGATCTTCACAAGTTGATGTATCTAAATTTATCGGCTGATAAAACACTCTAAAAACTTGGCTCAATAAACCAAAAGCATTTTCAGTGACTCATCTTGCTCGACTTAGTCTATAATTGAAAATGGTTTTTGTTACATCGTCTCTACCAGCTTTCTTTGTAAATGGCTTCATTATATGTTTATGCAACCTGAACGCTTCATCACCAACAATCACGTGGGGTACGACTATGCTAGACCCAGGTAGTGTAGAATCTTCCGGAAAACCAAATGATCCGTTCAGAATTTGTTTGCCCATAGTTGATTTTAGGAAAATGCCACTGTCACCTTCCTTTCCATAAGAACCTATATCTACTACTATAAATTTATAGTTTGCATCAACCATTGCCAATAACACAATGGAAAAGAAATCCTTGTAATTATGAAATAAACTTCCCGAATTTTTTGGACTACGTATACGTATATGTTTCCCATCGATTGCCAGAATACAATTTGGAAAATTCCATTTACAACTAAATTCTGCAGCTTTGACTTTAAAATCTACGTTTTTCGGGTCTTTCAAAAATATTGGTATTAATTTTGCTTTCAATACAGCCAAAGTTTTTTTAAGAATTCTACTTATGTAGGTGTGACAAATTCGAAAACCAAACGATAAAGATCGTAATGATTCACCCGTAGCCATATACCTACATAAATAAAACAAATTTATTTAAAATTATGTACTATTAAATTTTATATCTAAAACCATTATAGTAGTTTGAACACATACCTCAAGGTAACTGCCAAATTTTCCGCTGCAGAAATGGGGTCTTTTACTCTCCTTGAAGGTAATTTTGTAAGTTCCAATTCAACTAACGATAACAAAAAATCGAATTGTTGGCGACTAATGCGAAAAAATTCTCGAAATTTGACGTCATTTTCGAACAAATGTCTATTTATTAGGATTTTAAAATATCCTTCAGAATCGTGGTTTAAAAATAAGGAATCAATTGGTTTCCTTTTTTTAGGCAACAAATACGAAAATAATATTTCATTATCTTCCAATTCATCTTCTATTAAGTTTATAATTAATTTATTATTATTCAAAATACACAGCAACTCATTATCGGACATGTTGGTACCGTTTTACGTCAACCTTAGATAGACATCGGCGTGCTACTGACGAAATTTAGAATCGAGTACCTACCTTTTAACTACGATCAGTCCAGTGTTGCCAGATTTGGAGATTTTTCCCCAATTTGGAGATTTTCGTCATTATTTTTTTGTGTTGAGGAAAAGTTTGAGGATTTGTCATAATTGGGGAAAAATTGGGGATATTTTTCAATTTATCAAATATAAAAAAATATATTTTATATTACATTAACCACAGATATAAAATATATTATATATTATATATTTTATATCTGTGACATTAACATAGTATTTGTTCCGTAATCATGATAACAGTAGAACAGTTGTATACATAGATAATAAAGAATTATTATCTTTATTATCTATGGTTGTACATAACCGAATCGGCATTGATAAGAAATAAGAATACAAAATACAAATTACAAATTAATGACAATTGACATTTGACTATTTGAGTTCAAAGTTGTAGTGATTCGTATTGACAGTGGCATCAAGTATTTTCTTTGTTATTAGAATGTCGGATGAATTGAGTAGCTCCGGAGAAGCTAATTATACCAAAAAGTTGAAGACGTCGAAAAAAAAATATTTGCACAAGTTTAGAACAGAATGGTTAAGTAATCCAGATTATTTTACTTGGTTAAGTTCGAGTCTAAAAGGTGATAAATTCTTCAAGTGTAAACTATGTAAGAATGACTATTTAGGAGGGATATCAGCTGTTCAAAAACACTTTGCCTCTGAAAAACATAAAGTTATTGAAAAGTCAATTAACAATGTCAACAAAATAAATAATGTTGCTGCTTATAAAAACGCTGCTAATTTAATTAAAGACACTAAAATAGCTGAGATACGTCTTGCAATGTTCATTTCAGAGCACAATATAGCTTTGAGAACATCAGACCATCTCGTTTCCCTTTTTAAATCCATTTGCCCCGAATCTAGTGTTGTCAAAAACCTCACATGTAACCGTACTAAAGCGACTGCTATAACAAATAATGTTATTGGTAAGTATGAATTTGTAAATCTCATAGAGCGAATGAAGACTCAATCATTTTCTATAATGATTGATGAATCTACTGACAAATCCAGCACAAAACATTTGGCTGTAGTTTCGCGTATGGTTCAGCATTCAAACTTTGAAGTTAGAGATGAGTTTGTTAAACTAATTGAAGTTTCAAATGCAAGTGCTAAAGGTGTGTATGATGCTATTATAAATTTTTTCAATGTACATGATATTCCCTACAAACATAACTTGGCTGGTTTTGCATCTGATGGGGCAAACGTTATGTTTGGAAATAAGCATTCTGTTAAGTCCTTATTAGAAGAAGATGTACCTCATTTATTCGTCATTAAATGTCTTTGTCATTCGTTGGCGTTATGTGCTTCATACGCGTGCGAAAAACTGCCTAATGATGTGGAAAATCTTGTACATGAAGTGTATAATTATATGAAATATAGTTCTAAAAGACAAAAACATTTCCAAGAATTTCAAGAGTTCTTGGATATGAAACCAAACAAACTATTACAGCCATCACAAACACGTTGGTTGGCACTTCAGGCTTGTGTTAAAAGAATGGTTGAAATGTAAAAATCGATAAAATTATATTTCCAAGCTGAACATCTACTCGATAATAAGGCAACAACTATCCATCAAAAACTCTCTAACCCGGTCAATGAACTATATTTACATTTTTTAAACTTCATACTACCTATAATAACAAATTTGAACATTGAGTTTCAATCTCAAAAACCTAAAATTCATTGTATCTATTCTAAAATGGAAACTACGTACAAGTCTATTTTAGAATGTTATATAAAATATGACTATATAAAGACCACTCCCACACCTAATATTCAATATAGAAACCCATCAAATTTTTTACCTCTTGACAAAATGTATCTTGGAGCTCAGTGTATGGCTGAACTCTCAAGAGATGTTCTTTCTATTCAAAACAAGGAAATTTTTTTAACTAATTGTTTAAACTTTTTGGTTGAATGTTGTCACCAATTTTATAAACGTTTCCCTTTCAATTCAAAATATGTTCAAAGTTTAAAACATTTGGGTTTTCTTGATCCCAAAAACATGGACAGTATAATATCAATTTCACCTGCTGCTTCAGACTTCCATTGTTTATTAGGTCTTGATCTAAATGATTTGGACTCTGAATGGAGAATACTAAGACACACTGAAGTGAATACAAATGATGATGTAGTTGATTTTTGGAGGAAGGTTAAACAACTGAAGAAGGGTAATGATGAAGAAATGTTTCCTAATCTCATGAAACTTGTCACTTTCTTATTTACGTTACCCCATAGCAGCGCAGCAACGGAACGAATATTCAGCACAATAAATTTAAACAAAACTAAAAGCCGTAATCGTTTATCTACAGAAGTTATAAGTGGGCTTTTATACAGCAAAAATCTTCTAAATTCAGCCAATAAATCATGTTATAATTTTGATGTAGAACCAGGTATGATAGAAAATTTTAATAGTAGTATGTACAATAAAAGTTTGTAAATTTAATTTTTCAATCGTACACTTCTATATTTATCAATATTATTTTNGGAAATGGAAGTGATGAAGGGGAAAGAAAAATTTTACAAAATATTTTTACAACTTAAACATAAGTAGATTGTAGGTGTTGCCGTGTAGTTGAAGTTTTCTTTTTTTTGTTGATTTTCTGGCGTTGAGTCTTCTGTCTTTATGTGTTAATTTTACATTTTTTTTTTTTTATTTATGTAAATGTATACATTCAATATTATGGTTAAAGTGCAAAAAAAAAATGAACATGCAGTAATTCAATTATTTATTAGTTGTTATCTATATATATTGGTTAGGTTTGTTTGTTTTATTTTTATTTGTTGTTTAATGCCTAGCGGGGATTGATGGGGGATTAAACAATAATTCTATTTTGATTATCATCGGGAATATTTTATAGGAAATAAGCCCGACTATTAGTGTAAGTATAGTAAGCCATGAAAAATAAATAATGTCTCCCCAAAAATCGTCTATGAATGACTGTGGTATTTTTTTTAATATTAAGTCGTTAAAATATTTTTCAGGGTCTTTAATCTGTTTTGTAAAGTGGAAATTTGGTATTTCGGTTTTCCAATTTGTATTTAATATTTCAGTCATATTGGTAAAATATATTTCTTCTTTTCGTTCTTCATTGTTAATTTTAAGCGATTTTATGTTAGTCCAAGATATTGATAAAATCCTTTTTAATTGAAATGTGTTAAAATTGTTAGTTTCACAGGGGTACATTTTTGGAATAATAGTTTTAGAGTTTTGCTTAAGTTCGTAATTACAGGGAAGGTATATCTTTATCAGACCTGGGTGGTTGTAGTTAATCTTTAGTTTCTCTGTTCGTATCTTATTATTTTTATTGTATATTTTTAACAATAATGTAGGTTGCGGGTTTGTTATTGCGAATATATTTATCCCTATATGTTTAATGATTATTGAATCGTCCTTACGTTGTTTTATGCATTGGAAATAGCAGTATTCGTTAATTATATTTAGTGGTTCATTTTTAAATATGGATTCCACACATCTTGGGGACAGAGTAATATCAGAAGAAAATCTAGGGATATAACACAAATCTGTGACTGGTGGGTCACAATGTTGTAGTCCTACACCTGTGATCATTCTGTGTTCATTGTTATTGGCATTAATAGCAATATATGTTTTTTCTGAAAATATTAAGCAAATAGATTCCTCAAATTTAAAGTGAATAGGTATATATTGAAATAATTTCCATTTAGCCATTTTTTCCTGGATAGGGATCTTATTTTTATTAAAATTTGATTTTTTGAAAATTGGCATTCAGTTATTGGCAGGTTGTAATAAGCGGGTATGTTTTTAATAGGAATTACTAATTCATAACCGTCCTTTAATAATACTTCTGATAGTTTGATCAAATCGTCTTGTAGTATATTGGGTTTTATTATTCTAGTTGGGATTTTATGCAATTTACAATGTAAATGATTACTTGAATCTTTTTCAAAATTAGTAAATTTTGACATTATAATCATTAAACTAAATATTATTTCCTGAATGCCCTGTATTGAATTCTGTTGTTTATTTTTTTCTTGCATATTGTTATCCTTTTCTTCCTTAACAAATTCCATAAACGCGTTTTTTAGGGTTTCTAGATTGTTATTATTGTTTTTAGTATATCTATCTATTTTAGAAGTTATATTTATTAGGTCCTGGTGATCGGAAACAAAAGCGTCCTTGAATCTTTTTATTTGTGTTGTTGCGTACCTAGTAGTGTGTAACTTACTATAAATATATTTCATTATCAATCATATTGCCGCGACGATCTACGAAGTCGTGATCGACGCGTTATCGATTTACCTAGTCGTCGTCAGTCGCTTGAAAACCACGGAAAGCACACTACGAAGTGCGCAACGCGTCCTCCGTGCCGTTCACAAAATTATATATTTTCTAAATAGTTTTTTTATAATCTTAGAATACAGTCCACACATTATTATGTACGAATAATTACGGTTTTCTTATTTATTTATCCTTGCTTACCACGTCCCAACATTTGGTCCATTCGCGCCGGATTCGTTAAATAATTTTCGTTCGCCAACGTGGTTTAAAAGCAACGGGAAGTTTAAGCTAATATAGCGTTTTAGTGCGTTTTGTACGGGTAAGGATCATTGTTGATCTAGTGTTCGTCGTAACTCGAACAATTTCAAGTTTCGTAAGGTCAGCCAACCAGTACACCATTTATTGTCTCTCGAGAGAAGCCCAGTACGCAGATCCAGATCGAAAAGTCGGGTAAGAGTTTAGCCTATTTCTATTTGTTATATCTTTTCCTAAAATAAAGAATAAAATTCCCGAAAATTAGGTAGGCTAGCGTAAGGCACAGTACAACATTGTCAATATATACAATATAATATTGTATAATAGACATTTGACTTTCGGCGCACTTATCGGCAGTTTAATTGCTGATTAGGTTCATCGATACAATAAAAACAAATTGTCACCGTCGCGGTCGTACGGTCGTTAACGTGCTTAATATTATTATACCTATTACCTAATATTATATTTATTAGCTTTATTACGCGATTGTACGGCGTTATCGAGCGATGGACGATATTAGCGCATTGATCGCGCGACGCGGCCACATAAAAGCCGTCTTAACGCGATTTCAAGTTTACATCGGGTCACCTGAATGTGACATAAATCAAATTGTACTGCGGCGTAAGAAGGTCGAAGATGCATGGGATAATTTTGAACGTGTACAGGCGGAGATTGAGGAATTGGATAGTGCAAACGGTACAAATCATTCAGGATATAGAGAAGAATTCGAAAATGCGTACTTTGAGGTGATCGCGAAAGCTGAGCAAATGACGAATTCCGCTAGTTCGAGCATCGGAATAAATACGAACGAACAAGGGGAAGGATCCCCGCGAACATCGTCGCGTGTAGGGAGCATCCAGTCGGCGTCGTCATCGATAAAGCTGGCAGCGTTAAATATACCGGTTTTCAGCGGTGATTACGCGGAATGGACGTCGTTTCACGATATTTTTGTGGCGCTTATCCATACGAATATTAACTTATCACCGATACAAAAATTTTTCTATTTACGTTCCTCTTTAACCAACGAACCTGCAAATTGTATTAAGAATCTCGAAACAACAGCAAACAATTATGAGCACGCTTGGAAAACGTTAATAACAAGATATAGAAACGAAAAATTATTAGTTCAGTGTCACGTCAAAGGGATATGTGAGTTAAGTGACGTAAAAGAAAATTCGTCGAACAGTTTAAGACAATTTTCCGACAGGCTACGTGGTCATATATCTGCTTTAGAAGCGCTGAAGCAGCAGCCATATGACTGGGGCCCATTGCTCGCACATATTATTTGTACGAAATTGGATGCGATCACTTTAAGTGAATGGGAAACGAAGTCCTCAAAAAGTGAAATTTCCAAGGTGGCGTATTTAATATTATTTTTAGATGCGCGCGCACAAGTTTTGGAAGCAATCGAGTCGTCAAGAAACATTTCTAAAATCGGTGATCTTGTTCCGGGTAACAAAAATGATAATAAAAAAAATAAAATTAACAAAAACAATAGCGCTTCCACTTCGTTAGTCTCTATGTCAGAGATAAAATGTTATGCGTGCGATTTGTCACATACGATCTACAAATGCCCTTCATTTTTATCATTAGCGGTAGCCGATCGAATAAAACGGGTCAACGAACTAGGGCTCTGCAAGGTATGTTTGCGCAAACACGACGTTAAACGCTGTCTGTCGCGGAACAATTGTTATAAATGTCATAAAGCACACAATACATTACTACACTTAATTATTCCACAAAAATATAATGAAAAAAAATCGAATGAGACTTTAAATCAACAGACAGTAAGTACGTCGACTAGCGCGCATTCGTCGGGCATCGATCACGAGAACGTAATTTTATCAACGGCCGTCGTGCGAGCAATAGGAAAGTGCGCAATATCAATATTATGTCGATCATTATTGGACTCGGGATCACAAAGCAATTTTATAACAGAAGAAATAGTTCAGGCTTTGAAATTAAAAAAAATAAAGACGACTCATCAAGTAAAT